GGCCGCGCTGTCGGAGATGAGCACCGGCGAGGAGAACAGCAGCTCCGACTCGGACCCAGACTCGGCCTCGCCGCCCGGTGCCAAGCAGAACCTGTCCGTGTCGGTGCAGACCAGCCAGGACTGGAAGCCCACCCGCAGCCTCATCGAGCACGTCTTTGTCACCGACGTCACCGCCAACCTCATCACGGTCACCGTGAAGGAGTCCCCCACCAGCGTGGGCTTCTTCAACCTGCGGCACTACTGACACCCACCGTGGCCGCCGCCGCCTCCCCCGCCCGCTCCGGCCTCTGGTTTGGCTCCAGTAAGTGACCCACACCCCAGGCCACGCCAGGGCAGGCGGGAGGCCTCCCGAGCCCACCCCTGCCTGGGGCATCGGGCCGGGTCGTACCTCGATGCCTTGCTGGGGCCTGGCCGCCCCGTTCCTACCTCGGCCTTCGCTTCCCTGTGGCCTCAGGAAGTCTGGGCACCCCCTGCAGCTCGAGCCAAATCTCGGAAGTGCCCTCCTGGCTGTGGTGACGGCTCCCGGTTCCCAGGGGCACAGCATTCCAGGAGGGAACTTCTGGGCCAGCGTGGCTGTTCTGCCCGGTGGCACATGGCTATGGGGGGCGGGGAGCAGGCCTGGAGGACCACACCAGGGCAGGCGGACTAAGATGGGGGGGAGCCGTGGCCTTGCTGTCAGAACTACCCCCCCCCCCAACTGTGCCTGAGCTGTCCGAGGTGAGGGGACTTCATCTCCCTGTCGCTGTCCCCTCTCCTGACAGCTGAGGGCTGTGTGTGAGGTGGGGGAGGCAGGGACCCTAGAGAGGTTGCTTTGGTGCTGTCTAACCTGGGGCCGCTGCGCTGGGCAAGTCCCTGAGCTGTTGCACCTGGAGAGCCAGCCTCTGGGTTTCGGGGGCAGGAGGAGAGGGTGTCGCTCCTGCTGCCTGCCTTCTGCCACCTGTGCCAGGGCCACGCAGTCCTCATCTCAGCCCCACAGACTGCCCGGGCCTGCTGGCTGTGCGGGGGCCCGCCACCCCTGACAATCCCCCCGCCCCTCTGGGGGCTCCGTGTCCTTCCCAGCGGAGAAGCTGCCTGCCTGCCTGTGCATTGGGGAAGTGGGACAAAATCAGAGCGGCCCTCCAGGCGGAGGCCCCGGGGGCTGCCCCGGGGAGCTGTCCTGGGCGTGGGAGAGGTGGGCCAGCTGGGGCGTCACCGGGTCTGTAATGCCAAAAAGGGGGGCTTTGGGGGACTCTGGGTTTTTTTTCCAGTGATTGGTTAAGTCAGCCAGCGGTGTGGGGCCCGGGCTCACACTGGCTGTTCCCCGGGGCGGGCCTGCTACACCTCCACCCCCTTCCCCACTCCCAGCCCTGCCCTCCGTGCCAAATAGGACACGGGGCTTTCTAGCCAAATCTGTTTGAACTGTGTGCCTTTGGGGACAGCCTGTGTCCAGGGCCCCACTGCGGGGTCTCCACAGGAGCTGGGGCTCGAACACGGCAGCCCCGCTGGCTGCTGCAGGAATGGTGCCCACCTTGGCAGCCGAGGGCGAGGGGTCCCCGACCACCAGGCTGAAACTGGAAAGTGGGCAGTAAAGGGAGAATGGCCCCCTGCACGCCCAGGCGGGGGAGGAAGAGGTCCCAGCATATGCTGGGCCTCTGGCTCCGGCCTCCCCTGCTGTCCCCTGGGTGTGATCTGAGGGGTTCCTCCCCCACAGAGGAGCTGACAGCCGCCCCCCCGAGCCTGTGGGCGGCCTGCAGCCCCAGCAGCCAGGTCTCGAGACCCAGCGAATGCGGTGCCTTTCTGTTCACCAGCTATTTCAATCCCAAAGTTTGAACCTGCAAACACCTTGCTCCCGGCCACCTTGCCTTGCTGTGTGGTGTGTGTGTTTCCTTGGTGCCGTGACTCCGAGCGGTGTGTGTGTGAGTGGGCGCAGGTGTGACCGCCTTTGCTGGAGCCGGCCCAGGTGCTCTGAGCTGGGCGCCATGTTTACCAATTAATAAAAGTCGTCCTGTTTTATTTGCTGCTATGTGTGTGTGCGCGTGTGCGTGTATCTAGGCATCGGTCACATGTCCAGCGTGAGACTTCCTCGATCCGCAGGGGCTCCTGCCGCGCAGAAAGCACAGTGCGCATGGAATGGGTGGCCGGTCCGGTCCTGTCTTTGCTTCTGTGACTGGGTGGGAAGAAGTAACCGGCCTGCCCTCCTCTTGGGGGGGTTGGCATATTTTTATACATATATTTTTGGTACCAAAAAGAGTGCTCCTTGTTTTGGTTACACTCAGAATTCTGACCTGACTTTCAGAGGGCCCTGGGCCTCGCTAGAGGTTTCATTGGGGGTAAACTTTGGGGAAAGACCAGTGCTGTGGGCCAGTGCCAATCATTGGCTTGATTTGTGTGTTTTTTAATTAAAAGAAAAAGCCAAATTATTTGTGTATACCACTTTTAATTGCTTTACACTGTGGCTGTTTGCTTTCTTAGAACAAAAGTGGGTATGTTACTTCCCTGGGAAACCTAAGGTCTTTGTTGAAACAGGACAGCAGCCCAGCCCCCAAATTCAAACAGGACCAACCAGTGAAAGGAAATGCCTCCCCCAGGAAGCCCACCAGGGTTTGGAGGACGGGGTGAGAGCCAGGGAAAGGTAGTGCCTAGATGGCCAAATTTTTGCTCACATGCATCTAAAAATTCTGTGCATTTTGTAGTATTTTTGGGAAACTAACACTAGCAATAGGTTGCAGGGGTTTTTTTAGACATTAATTTATTTTGCAGGGGAAAGACATTAGCAAATGTGTCAGACCTTTGCCTTTTCACTTAGTATATCAATAAAAAAATTTTTTTACTTACCAGCCTGTTGTGTGTCATGAGTGGTGCCTGGAAACACCAGTGTCTTTACTTTCCCCTTCTTGAGGCAAAATCCTCCAATGTGACAGAATAGAAGGAGGGGGCTCTGGGGGAGGCGTGGCCACCTCTCTGGGGTGCAGAAAAGGATTTTTTTTCTAAGCAAAGGTGTGGGGTCAATTATAGAAGTGAGTCCCTATACCAGCGTTTCACAAAGAGCGGTTTGGCATCCCAGGGGCCAGGGGTGAGTGTTGCCACCGGCATCCAGCGCCAGAGGCCCAGGCGCTGTGATACTTCATGAACCCACTTTGAGACATCGCCCAGAAACTGGTACTTTAGGTTGAAACAGCCCCGCTCCTCCCCTCCCCCCAGCATCCAGAGATGCTGCCATTGGGAAGCCGCTCAACCCCTCGAACCCACCACATGTGGTAACACTTTAAAAGGACACAGCAATAAAATTCCGGGGGAGTTGCTGCAAAGCCCGCCAAGCTCTGCCTGAGCGGCTGCTGCGAGGCCTGACCCAGGCCCACGACAGATGACTTGCTTCCTAAAGAGCCTTCCCTGGTCCCTTCAAGGCTGCAGCACCCTCGGCATGAATTTATTCATACATTTCCGCCTCTGGGGAGAACTAGCGCCCTTTGAAGCGAAGAGGAGCTGGGCCTGCCTGTTGGCCGCCCCTGGCTTGGGGCAAAGGCCTGGATGCCTTCGTTCAGGAAGTTCCCACTGCAGCTGAAGTGCAACCCCAGCCTGCGAATTTGAAATCAGATTCTGCGCAGGAGGCTGCGGGCTTGTTCTCTTTTGTTTCGCCTTCAGAGGCTGGAGCAGGTTTGTGTTGGGGAAAGTGGGCAGGGACCACCCTAGCGTCCTGTCCTGGGGTGGTGAGAGCTGCAGAGAGGGGCTGGGGTGGCTGGGAAGGAGCAAACTGGCAGTGGGAGCCGGTGCTACACACACACACACACACACACGCACACGCACCCCGGTAGCGAGCCAGGCTTTCCTGGGAGTAATTTATACGGAGCCCCGGACAGATGGGTGCGGGCCAAGGTGCACACCGGCCTTTGTTACTTTTATGCGCTGCGGAGTTTGCGGCCTAATCCACCGCCTTCCCAGAAGAACGAGCTGGGTCGCCAAGGGGTCCGACCTGGCCTGAGGGCTGGGCCCGGAGCCCCCAGGTCCGAAGGCGCCTGGCATGATCCGCACATCCAGGCTCCCAGACGGGGATCCGGCGGCTGGACACCGCGTTCCCTCCAC